CTGTGGAAAATGAAAACTTTTAATGTAACAACTTGAACTTTATATATATATATATATATATATATAAAGATAATGAGGCTTTGTTGTGAACACCACTTATACATAATAAACTGTTTGCTTGATCGATTTTTAAGGCCACAAGCAACCAACGATTAAATGTTTACAATTGTTGTCACACTGTTTTTATGCGATTACGTAGCAATTGCTGCAACCTCATCAAATACAAATTGGATGTAAAAGCCGTTCTTCTGGGTATTATTTCGTACACTTCTACGCCTCGACTGGCAAGGTGAACAAATGCTGGGGATGATCGATTAAACAAAAATCGGCATCGAAAGGTTAAAACTAAAAAAAAAAACAGTATGAAGAAGAAGGCTTGTTGTAGCAGCAAGTATTAGATGAGAAGAATTTTGGGAAAAACTCAATAGGAGGGGACAATTGGCAAAAGGCGGAGGAGGATATTGATATTAAACCAATTTCTAGATCTATGTCTTTCCTCTTACATCCAAGTTTTTTAGAAGCAAAATTCAACATGTGATGAAAATATGAAGTGTTCTAGTGAAATTCATTCTATATAACTGTCTTAATGGCAAAAGTTTTAAATTTCATGTCGTGTCAAAAGAAGAATTTAAACGTTAAAAATTCTTACTTAAATGTTTACACTCATTTGCAAAATAACACGAACAACTGGCACGCATTTCGTTGTTATTGATCAAACAGAATAATCGAATAAACAATTTTTTATTTTATTATGAACACTTAGATATTCGTACATTTCATATACTTTGGGTAATAACTTAAAGTATTACAAAATTTCAGCGAAATTATTACATATTTGTAGAAAGTGAATGTTATAAGAAAATACTAAATTCATGAAATCAAAATGTATTTCTGGATTTGATACTTTCGAATCTGATTCCCTTTCTCAAAATGGATAATTTCGAGTTTCGTTTGTATTTTTTTTTATAATTCACTTCCATTCCTTCTATACTTTACTTCAAGGCTCGGCTTTCTTTTGCTCATAGGTGGATCTGATTGAAGAAGAAGAAGAAGAATAGTTTATATATACATTGCATTCGTTGAAAAGTAAAAAACATCTTTAGTGGTATCTAAATTTTTTCTATAAATAAGGTATGATTACATATTGAGGTTAGAATCTGCCTTGCGGCATACTGGGGAGCGAACTAATGCAAAAATTTTGCAAATAACTTATTACCACACTCATGCACTTTAATGCTTAGACTTATTGCAAAAAAATTGCAAAAAGAAGAGAATAAACAAATTTGCGTAGGAAAGCTCTATAAATATATTTGATTGCGTAACTTGTTTGCCTAATACGTTGCGCTTGCAATATAGCGTTTACGATCCATTTTCTTTACTCGCCGCATGCAATATGTTAGATTATGTTGTATACTTGCGACGCATAACAGTTGAAAGTAAACACCTTGGTAAACATTAGTTGCTGAATCGATTTGCACAACCTTAAATCACGGATATGCAATTCGAACTTTTTCCCCAGAATGTTGAGTTCTCTACGGAGTTTAAATCAAGCTCAAGTCCCAAAAATCAAAAGTCTGACAATTAGAAGGCAAATGTCATCGTCACTCAGCAGTTTTTGGGCATTCAACTTAACTATCCCTAATTCGGAACTGTCTTTATCGGGATGATCTGTAAAAAAGATAAAAATAAAAAAGTGCACACTCGTGTACGCATGTGCAGCGTATATGTTAGTTTGGTAAGCCATAAAAGTTCGGTAAAAATCAAAAGCGAACTTTTTCACGTCGCAAACACTGTCGATTTGAGGCTCAAACTTAAAATCAATTTCAATTATTTTAAGCATATTCATGCTTTCTTAATTGCTTGTTCAGCGATACGCAATGGGGTGCAGTTAGCTTCTCATAAAAATTAAACAACTATTGAAAGCAAAACTTTTACATAACATTATGTTTTCGGCTGCGCGTACTACCAGTGCTCCATTATGTGCTGAAACTGAAAATTCGTTTAGGTATTTACGGTTTACTTACTTTCAATCGCCCACTTAACCCTAAAACGTTTATTGATTTCAAATAGAGCTGAATAACATAACAATTAATTATTTAACTCATATGCGTGAAGTTTGAAAAGCAATTAAATCAGAAGTGAAATGCATTTTGCGTAGTTTTGTGAAAGGTCGGTCGGATCAGTAACTTAAAAAACTGTTACTTGATTTTATACATGCATTCAAGTATATATAGTGTTGCAGTTGATTAAAAAAAAAAAAATGTTTCGATTCGAATATTGATTTTCACTTCTTTACTATATCATCTTTACGAAACACATATTAAGCGAATAATTTAATTCGTTATAGCAGATCGATTCGCAGATTAATTATATACACACTGCAAGAAGAGAATTTAAATTCTTTTGCGTTAAGCTCTACCAATAGTCCGCTTACTTTTCTACGCTTATGAAAATTTCTTCCAGTGTAAAGGGCTTGAAAGCATATATATATTTCTGTAGAAAAGTCGTGGGCTGTAAATAGTCCGACAGGACTACAGCCCAGGAAAGAGCCTGGAATGGCCGAATAGTTGCGGATAGAACGGTTTCAACGATCTAAAAATATAATAATATCTTCTTAAGCTCTACTTATTTTCGGGTCTATGTGGGAGACTGATCATAGTGCAGACCATTCTCACGAAGAATCCTCAAAGGACTGGGTTCGATGTGTTTATCAAACACTAAATTCAAGAATTGTTGTAAGTCGTCTTTAGCTATTGTGGGCGCTTTTTGGATTAGCTTTTTTTTTTCTCTCTTAATTTATATGTCATTTGCAAACGTAGGGTATATCAACTTTGTATTTTTTTCTTTCGCTTGAATCTTTTTAATCGCATGAGAGATGGGCGGATAGATAGGGAGACATGGTTAACGGGTAACGCTTAATAGAGATGTGAACGTTCTAGTATAAGGCAACAAAGTTCTTAAAATTTGTGATCCTTAAGTGATTGCGGCTGACAGCTTTCAGCCTAATAACTGCTTTATATGTAAGATGAAAAGTCTCGTTTTTTTTTAAAAGCGTCATTCAATCAAAAATCAATGGTTTCCATAAGCATTCGCTATATACACAATTTTCACAAAAATGGGTACAAAGGTTTTCTTTCTTTTACGCCTTTTAATCTCTCACGTAACACTAGTTTATAAGAATTACCAAGTTTACAGCAATTGAATACAATCAATTTTTATGTACACACATATACAAGAAAACACTCGACCTTGTGTGGATGGGTTTACAGTGACTGGCTTTAGCATTCAATGTCTTAATTAATTGTAGGTTTTTTTTTTTTTTTTTTTTTTTTTTTTTTTTTTTTTGCGGATAATTTGATTTCAAAGTTGAAAACATAGAAATTAAATTTTGTTTTCTATAAAAACTTGTTGTACGTAGTAGTGTATAATAAATGTAATCAAATCATTTTAGAACAAATAAATTAAATTTTCTAATAAATTATGTTTTTTCATTTTCCTCGGACAATTGAAACTCTTTTTAAGATGTTTTAGCGGTGAATTTACTAGATTTATCCCCCACGTTAGCCAAGATGAGTCGACGACTTTCATTTCAGGTCAACGATATTAAACTTAAATTCTTTAGGTCAATTGAAAATATTCTTTACACAAACACAATCATTTTTACAATCTTATGCTAAATCTGAAATTAAATATTTTTTATATTCATTTCCTTTCGGTGACACATAAATTTATAAAGTTTTTCTTCAATAATATTTGTAATAAATTATAAGTTTTTTTATTTTAATTTCACCCTAATTAGTTGATTGACACAATCAACAGGCGTGAGTCAGATAAAACGTAAGGTTAACCGCTAAATATTAAAATCTGAAAACTAAAATGTCTTACACTCCCAGTTCTGGCGAGTAAGAATTGCTGTAAGCATGTATGTAGGCGTGAGATGTTGACAATATCTTTAATAGGATGCCACCAACTGCCTTGGAAAAGCATTATAAAAGAAATAGTAACATATACATACGCAGGCAATTAAGTCAGTTGATTATTATTATTTTAATTTTTTTTTTCTTGTATCCGCTAAGCCGAGTGTGTTAGATTTGCCAACTGTTTGTAACATATAAAAACAGTGGCGTATATATGTTCGATTGTTCTTGTTGTTGATAGCCGAATCGATTTTTTTGAGTCTCTTGTAAATCGGCTACATTAGTCCATTCCCTTTTTTTCCTTGAGTTTGGCATAGTCAAATTCTATAGTTTTACATCTTCGAATTGCTTATTGCATTTTTCGTTAGCAAAGTTGAGTAAAAGCTCAAATTCATAATAATAATAGTAATAAAATAATAAAAAATGCAGCCAAGACATGCATTTGAATTATGTCAAATATCGGAAAATGTTGCCAAATTTGAAAAACGTATGATTTGACATTCGATCAATGAATCAAGATCGTCGCTATATGGCATCATGCAATCCAATTGCTGTGCGCAAGCTTATTGCGGGTATCAAAAGATTCGACCCAAATCAAATACAATTCTTTCTTTTTATTATTATTTTTTGAATAATTTACGGATTTTTTGCCGCCATATATAGGTCTCGAGAATGCATGGTAGCATTAATGGTGGTAAAGTTGATTGACAGACACCTTTTATCATTCGTTCGTATTAAAGCAAGTGTGGCGTGTTGTGTATAGTAGCAATACGACTAATAATATAAACTATGTTGTAACCAGAAGTTAAGGCTAAAAATTTCATCTATTTTGTATTATGAAAAAGATAAATTAAGCGAATTTGTGTTAAACTGAAGAAAAATGAGATTAAGAGGTTAAGAGCAAGTACTTATTTTTACAATCATTACATTTTCACACCGTTGTGTAGTGCTGCAAGGGCAGCAACAAGATTTAAGACGTATTTTCACGTACCGCTGCGCAGGTTTGTTCAATGAGATAATTTTCCTTTAAAATAAAAAATAACCAGTGCTAACATTACGTACTTTGTTTGTTGTCTTCTTTAGGTCGATGGTAATGATTTGGCTCAACACGGCAATAACATTAATTTTACTTATCTTGCCAATAATTTCGATGGCAATATATTGAGGAATCCTATGGACTGTATACCATTGGCTGTGGGTGGAGGCTCTCATCATCCGCATTTAATGGCTTCCAGTAATACCGTTAATGTTACTGTAGCTTCTGCGGCTTTAGCAGCTGGCTCCGGCTATTCACACCATCCAAATTTGAACGCGAACCCTCTTCATCAGCATCATCATCATCATCTTTTAAGTCATAATACAGCATATGCCAATAGTTACGCCATTCATCATGGTGTTGGCAATGGCAATCATCATCATATACATAGCGAACAAACCAAATCGTTGCAAGAATTGCAACACGAAGTGGGCGCGCTATTGGAATTTCGCGATCTAGTGATTGAAACATTTCCTGATCTCAAACAGAAAATGGCATCTATGTCCTCGGCAGCTTCGACCACCTCAAATACGGGTGGCCTAACAAACGGTGGCCAATCTGTGGGGAGTGTAATAAGCGCCGCCGGTTCAACAGCTACCTTAACTAGTGGAGGCACGTTAGTGTCGAGACGTGAATGGGAGCCCGGCATTCGTATAAAGCGTAAGATATCCCAAAAGGAAACAAGTCAACCCGCCGCTACAGAGCTATCCTCATCGTCGTTGACAAGGAGTCGCAGTAATTCACATAGCGGTAAAAAGGAACCAAAGAGTAGTAGTGGTGGCGGTAGCAGCGCTAACGGTGGTGGAAGTGGCGAAAACAATAACGGCAGTGTAATACAAGACTCAGGTTTCTCTACAGAGACCAGTTCATCGAAAGAGGGCCATAGTGCCTCTTCAACGAATGGTGCTTCAACAGTAAGTGTTTTTAATTTGTATTTATTGTAAAGACAAATATTGGTCCAAATTTTTTACCAACTTTCCTGTTAACAAAGGGCGCCATAGCTTCAAATCGCTTGTCATGTCCGGAATCCGATGATGAATTGCTGAATCTGCTCGACGTCATACATCGTAAATCAAATCGTTTACGTGACGAGGTCGAACACTTGCAGAATTATGAACGCCAGCAATTGCGCCAGCAATCCACTTGTAGTAGTGAAGATCAGCTGGATATGAACGAAGGAGCAGCGGGTATTTCCAAATCTAGTAGTAGTAGTGCCAATACAGCTTTGACACCAAAAACTTTTCGAGAGCATGTTGAACGCCTCAGCAAAGAGGATATTAAACAATTGCGTAGAGAGCGTGATCGTTTGCTTGACAAATTGGCTGAAATGGAAGCTGAGACTTTAACCGGTCGTATTAAAGCGGCTAAAATGAACGATCAAGTCGAAGAGTTGATTAATGTGAAAAAGGAACTAGAAGAACAACTAAAACTGGCCATGGCTCAGAAGTTGGAGTTAAGCTCGAGAATACAGCAATTGCAGCAACAACAACAAAGCAAAACTCCTCTAAGATTAAAGTAAGAAAAAAGAAAATTTAATGGCATGTAATTTATAATTTATATACGTACATATCGTTTACAGTCATCAAGACCGATCCAGTCAAATTATTGGGTTATGCGCCTCTGCTAACACAGTGGTCTCTACCGTTAGTACGATACCCACACAACCACAAACGGATTTTGTGCGTGCAAGACAACAAAATACATTCCAACCTCTTGTGGTAGATAATCAACAACAACAACAACAAATGCTTCCTTTTCCCTCCTCTACCGAGAATAGTCATCAAAATTTGATTCCATTCCATCAAAGCAGTGATACCACAACAAAACGTAATCAACAACAACCTCAGCAATTCTCTGTGGATCAGTTAGGGCGTCTTGATGGTATAATTAGCACCACGGGATCGCGGGCTAACAAATGTCGTGTCACCGATTCCAAACGATTTGCTGCTATATTATTGGAGACTAGTGTGATAGAACTGCAAAGGCAACTATTAACCTTAACTGTTCAGAATCAAGTGAGCTCTTTGGAAGTGGTATTTGAAAATGCTTATGTTTGCTTTAAATTATTCTTAAATTGTAGGTTTTAACGCAAAAGTTAGAACAAGCCTCCAAATCAAAGAGTCATTTAGTGAAAAGGCTAGATAAGACAAAAGATGATGTAGAGGATTTAAGATTTCAGGTAATCCATAATGTGTAGAGTTCCATAAAAATCTTGATATTAATTAGTTCAGTTGTGCTTTGCAGTTGGAGGAAAAGAATATTGAGTTAGAAGGTACTAAGGCTCAACTACGTGTGCTCGAATCTCGATTGCATTCAACAACACCGAACAGCGGTGCTGGTACTAATTCCTATTTACATTCGCATCAAGATTATGAGACAAATCGATCTTCGGCCTCTACAACTTTGATGATGAGCAGGCGAGACGGCAGTGAGATCCGCTCACAAACGCCTTTAACATCGAGTTGCGGGCAAATGCCGCAACCAGCTGCTACACAAATTTCCACACCCAGCATGAAGGCTATGGTTCCTTTACCAATGGACGAGCTGCAGCATAACAGTAGTAGCACAGAATCCGCCCACGATCATGAATTGCAACTAGACGCGAACAATAAAAGCATTCAACGTGATTCTGGCGGTTCAGGTATTTTAAGCATTAGTGTGGGTGGAATTAGTCCGTTCGAAAAGCAACAGCAACAGCATCAGCAACAAGAGCAAAAGCAGCAGCATCAACAGCAAATTACTGCCTTGAGAAATCAAGTGCAAGCTTTAAAAAAATTTAGCGGGGCAACCACAAAACCCAGTAAAATACCATTGCCTGGCAGCAAAGCAGCCGCCTATTTTGCAGGTAGGCTGCTGTCAAATATATCCTCAATGAATATTGTATAAGATCGATCGATAAACATTTTATGATTCTTAGGTAAACCTCCAACCGGGAGACCGTCAACTGCTGGACGCTCACCACCATCAGTGAACTCATCAACCTCGTCGAATCGCTCGCCCTTGAGTCGGAGCACTGGCAATTTGTTGTATTCGAAATCACCCAACAGTCTAAAAAGAACTGATTCTGCACAAAGTATACGTAAAGATAACAATCATAACTCATCGTCTTTGAGTACCAATACCAGTCGCAGTTCCACCTCTTCGTCCATACCATTGGCTACTACGCCATACGGTTCGACACCAAAATCTACGATATCATATAATACAAATAACAACAACAACAATAACAGTCCGTCCTCGAGGGTTTTGCAAAACTCTCCTTTACCCAAACCCAAACGAGAATCGCTATCAACACGAGTGAAACACATGGATTCTTTGTCGCGTGCTTATAACCATCTACAACAGAACCATTCAAATAATAATGATGGCAATACAGGCACGACTGTGGTGGCGATTAGTACCACACCTAGTGGGAGTGATAAAGCTGCCAGTAGTTGTGTTAGTAGCACACCCAAAACTAAAACAGTAACATCACAACTTACCTCGTCATTGCGAAAGGATCTCCAATTAAGCTCGAGCAGTTTCTCCCATGGCTCTCAAGCATTTCCACGCCGAGCCACTGGTGGAATAACCTTTAACAATACCAACCCCACTACCACAAGACGCTTTAGTAGTGCCTCCGTGGTGGGAGCCCGTATGGCAGCCGCACGTCAGGCTGAAACCGATTTGCAAAACAGTAGCAATGTAAACGGCAGCAGTAGTGCAAACACTGCAGCTGGTGCTCAAGCTTCCTCCTCATCAAGTGGCCACGGTGCGAGCGGTGGTGGTGGTAATGGTACAGCCAGCGATAGTGACAGTGGCAAGGTACGCACTTTAAAATCAGCATTTTTGGGTTGGTTTAATAAAATCTAAACATTTTCTCAATAACAAACATCAAAAACAAAAACAAAAAAAGTCATCATATTTTCGTTTGTTCAGCAAGAAACAAAAAAAAAAAAAATTGAAAAAAAAAAAATAAAACAAGAAGATTTGAATCGGACGAAAAGAGAACAAAAACATTAAGGAAAAGCATACAAATCAAAATGAAAAGCAAAACTCTTTCATATGTAATTGTAATCGTTTAACATACATATTCAACTATTGACACAATGCATACGTACATACATACATACATACATACATACATACATACATACATCCATACATACATATACACGTACATACGTGCATATACCATTTGTATACTCAATCTCTGGATCAGCTTAAGTTCATAAATTATTTACATATTAAACAGTAAAACAACAACACACCATATATTTAAGATGAATAGACATACGAAGGTAAAACATTTCATGCCCTCGTCGTACATTTACTTATATAAAGTTTTCCTTACATATGCATATACATATACATATACATACATACATGCATACATGCATACATAATTTAATATCAAACCAAAAACAGAGAATATCGCATTAATTTCATACGAAAACGTAGAGTAAAAACAAAAAAGAAGGGAAAAAATTTAACGTTGATCGCTTGTAAAGCTAAAAAAAAATTTAATTAACTTACATATACATACGTACATATGCATTTCATTAAAGATTTTCTTTCAAATGATTCTATTTTTTATTTAAATTTTCCCCACGCATCACACATATTTTTGTCCATAATTAACTTTTATTTACTCATCTAATCGCGTTTGTAACGTAAAGCGCTGAATGTTAACAAAATTTTTTTTTTTCATTTATTGCTTTAACTACTTCTCATACTCACACAGTATATTTTTAATTTATTAAACCATGAAGTACAAAAGTTTATTTAGTAACAAACAATTAACAAACTTTGCTGTGTGTACATTTCCAATATATGCGCGCGCAAACCGCAATGCACTCATCTATAAGCTGCTTTAGTATTTCCTGGCGATTCCCAAACTTTCGGTTCGGTATGCGGTTTAAAAACGGCCTCAATTTGTGTGTATGTACGTACCAGGGATCAAGTGCATTTTTATTAAATATTTTTCGGCTAAAAAATTTCAATAAATTTTAAAATTAATTTAATTTAAATACATCCACACTTAAATTAGAGATTCCGATAATTCAAATTGAATTACCAAGGCAATCTGTTATATGCCTCTTTATCTTTCATTACCTTTTGCAATATCCTGCTGTCGATATGTAATTACATTCCATTTCATTCGAGAGTTTATTCGATACATAGATCAGAATGTGAAAAGACATAAAGATTTTTTTGTTCCGTAAATCTGAATGAAGGGACGCTTCTTTAGACATTGTTCGTTTTTAGGTTTTCAAAAACTTCACAAAAACTACTTGTAATGAACAAGTGAATGAATCTTTTTGAATGAGGTTATCTGCCTGCCTGTCCAAGTTGTTCTCGTTTCGTTGCAAATGCGTGAGAAAGTGCGCTTTCATGGTCGATCAGGGCAACCCTTTATGCCCTGCATAAAGCGTAATTCTTAACTTTTCATTAATTGTGTTAACCGTGCAATCGTTGCAATTATTACTTTATTAGGTTAGGTTTATCAGGTTTATTTAGAGGGAGCCTGTACAGAAATGAAGGCAAACTCATTAACTCTCTCTACTTTTATTTACTATTCTATTTATTATTCTATTTTAATTATACAAAAACTTGCTTACGATATGAAATAGTGATGAAATTGCTTCAGAAATTGAAAAATGTTGGACCAGATTATAGATCAGTTTTAAGCACTTGTTCGGTGCAATAACTAGAGGAAGACTAAATCCGAGCAGTACAAAATATGAAAATGTAATTTTTAAGTTCCGATAATTAATCTTTTGCTGTCTATAATTTAATTTTTTGAAATTCTATTTTTCGACTCATAAAAAATGTTCGCCTTATTGTTAGTTTTATGCAGTTAAAGTTAAGCCTACGATCCCATGCCACGCTACTAAATATTTACTAAACTTTTCCAAGGAATGTTAATGCTATCCAATCTCTAGGTTTGCTTAGGAATGGGAGTAGGTTTGTGAATTAAGTAATAAAATCTTCCACTTTTTGAGAAGCAATTGATTATGAACATAAGCGCTCCTTGTATACTACTGAAGTTGTTGGGAGGAAAAGTATTACATTGTAAAATATTTACATTGAAAAGATTACGTAATAGTACAGGCGAAAGAAGGAAAAGTGTTTACGTAGCATTATGTTCTCTTCCACATCCGATCCGTTTCGAAAGAAAAATGTTATTGGGGTCAATAAAGGAAATAAGCTTACCTTTGATGATTTTTTTCAATATATTCGTAATGGGGTCAGCGTCCAGAATTACTTAGCTTAAAATTTGAATTACTTTCGAAGAAAATTCATAATAACATAACTTAAGGCACGCGCAAGTGATAATACTCGTCAAAAAGTCAACTCCTTGGCATGCTCAAATTTTGAGCAGATTGAATCACATTGTCGAATATATTGCTCTTGTCATCAATTTTGTCAAAGTTTATGATCATATGTAGTGTTATTTGAGAAAGATTGTGCTAAAATGACCAACAACGTGTGGGCACTTCAACTCTGACAAAATTGTTGCACTGAATGGTAATTCTTGGGCATATAGAAAATAATTCAGGTTGGGAGCTCCTTGAATTTTTTTTTTTCTTTTTAAAAGATAAATAATAATTTTTTTAAGTTCATCCTGTGCTGCTCTTGTAGGCAACAACGATATGATTTGCTTTTGGATTGATGGTGTAAATATCAAATTTTACATCCGATATTGAGCAAATTTCATAGGCTCTCTCGAGTACTGACAACTTACTAATAAAAGTATGGTAAAAATAATTATAGTATCTGAGAGAACGTGAAAAGTTGAAGTTATCACCTAGGAAATGATGATGCAAACAAATGGGCAAATCTAGGATGGACGCGCTCTTACAGGTTTTCGACTTGCACATGGCGAGCCTAGGCTTAGGCCCAAGCTCGTAAAATAATATAAAAGCAAAAAAAAAAACTAACATTTTTGCTAGTTGTAAGTGAGAAGGCCAAACCGATTTTGAATATCTACCTGACATAAGCCTTTCAGACAAAGATCGTAAATACTAAGCGGAATTCCAATGGATAGACGGACGGCCTTTGCTACACTGAATCGGGCATTCGCGCTATTGGGAAATAATACACTAAAAAAAATTCCAACCTTTACTTAATACCCGGGCAGAACCTGCTTAGAAGTTAAATTAAAAAAAACTCAAAATGAAAAGTAATTACGAATTAAAACATCAATAATGTTATATGTGAAATCATATTTAATTTTTTTGTTCCAACATGTTCTTGGCCAATGCACAGTTTTGAAATCGTTTAGTGATTTTTATCCATTTATGTATAAGAGATATTCATGGAATTTCCAAAGTCGCAACGGATGGAATAGAATTTCAAAGTTATGCATGAACATTAGAGCCGTAACAACGAGAAAACTAAAATAGCCTCCAATCGCAATTTTAATATATTTCCATTGAGTCTTGTTTCAAAGATTCGTATCAGATGATCCACCCTAACACTTTTCAATCAAAGCTATCAATTAACGAAAATCTTGTGGGTCCATGTTTCAAAGACTACTTCTCGCTGTGCATGCCAAAAATTGTTGGAATTATTTCTAAAAGGATTAACATCGAAGAATATACCAAAAATATTTATAAAAAACAGTACTTGTCCCGTAGTCGCTTAACGCAAACATATCGCTGCTTTTTTGCTTTCGGCCAACACCCATAGGTACTTTCTAATACGTAGTAGAATTTCATTAATCCTAGCTTCACGTATATGTATCTATTCATATGTATATGTATAACATCTATCTATTCATAAAGAAATGAGAAACAAAAATATTCGCTAACGTGTAGTTTTAGAAAATCAAGTCAAAAATTCGAACGTCTTATATACTTATTTGATTTATTCTTTTTAATTCGTTCTTAAAGAAACTGTAAATAATTACTTAAGTCGTCGTAAATCATTTCATAAAATATTTAAATAAGAAAAAGATTAAGTTTTCTACACACACACAACATACATATGTACACACACACACACATACACACACACACACACAGCTACATATAGAAAACAAAACAAGTCATGGTTAAATGGAGTCAGTCGTAAAGTTAACTTTAAGTCTTGCGTGCTGCTGCAGTGTTGACGTGTTGACGATTAGAACAAAGCGTTATTATCACTCGTACATGTTTCTAATGAGAATTAACCTTCGTTTCGTTTGTAAAACTACATCTGTTTATATAATATTGATATCATTGAAACTTCTGAATGAATTTTTTTTTCCTCTTTATATATTTAATAATTTAATTTTTTTTTTTTTTTTTTTTCTTACTTTTAAGGTTTAAATTAAAGTCTTGCCTCGTGTTTTTATGTTGTGTGTTTCTCGTCTTAACTGATAGATAATCCTTTTTAATCTTTAAATTACATTTATGAAAGCATATTTATATAAATCTATTTAATTAATGTGTTTGTACATATATTTTATATGAAATCAATTTAATTTTACCCAATATATTTCGTTTACGTCTGTATAAGTTTAACGCTTAACCACTCATAAATGTTTGTTTTTCTACTCATTCTACCGTTTAAATATATTTATATGTGAATACGTTTGTTTTTTAACTTCTATCTAAAAAAAAAAAAAAAAGAAAAAAAAACAATTCTAAGAATACAAAAATTCAATAATAATTTCATAATTTTAAACAAATTATTTCAATTGCCTTTTGATATGTTTTGTAAATTAGGAAATAAACAAGATCAAGATTAAAAATTTATAATCGTGTTGGTAAGAGAAGGTCAGGAGGAGGGTTAAAGAAAGGAGAAACAAATTGTCATAAAATAGAGCCCTCTTCAAG